ATGTTTGCTGTTGTAATAAAATTCTCCACAAAATGACAAAGTACATTTAGAAAACCTAAAAAAAAAGACAAAAAATATTCGAAAAGTAGATGATGTTGAAGTGTTGTCCACAAAAAATAATATTATATTAAATATTTTATTCTTTTAATATCCACTTCTATGGACCACAGAGTGCATGTGGACATCGTCTCATTTTAATGTTAGCAGCAGGCTATGGTAAATAAAAAAACTAAAATTCGCATATACATATATATATATATATGTTAACTAATCCAACTAAAAGTTATTAATCATTTGATAACCTAAATAATCATTTAATATTTAGTCATTATATAAATTTTATTATGATATTTATTATCTCGTACTTTATTCATATTATAAATTTTCTATAGTATATTAAAATATAATTTTATGATCACTGTGAATTGCTGTTATAATTATCTTATTTTTGTTTTTTTATTATATTCTAATTTTAGATTTTTATCATTTGTATACAAATACTATATAAATATTAATAAAAGTTGTCATATTTGCACTTTACATTAGAAAAAACAGTTTCTAGGATCTATTATAGAAGTAAGAGTTAGAAACATGTCACTTGTTAATTTTATTTTTCGAATTTTTGAAATAATTTTTAAATATAGAAATAAAATTTATGTTATAATATCATAACACAGTTATATATTTAATTTTTAAACTAAACAGTAAATTTTATTTACATTGACTACAAATGCACTAAATGACAATTTTTATAGTCATCTAAAATTAATTAATATAATTTATAAAATGATGTTAATTAAAGATTTTAAATTAAGATTTCTATTACAATTAGCTGAAAATATTGATAAAGTTATAACTCATAAATAGCACGAAATAAACATCTAATTTAGTAAAAAAAGTAGGAAAATTTGAGACTCTTATACAAAATGTAACGTCCCAGGAAATATTAAAATGAAATGAGTATTTAAATATATCAAATGCGGAAGCGAGATCAAAATTTCAGTTAACATCCCTTACACGAAAAACCAAAAACGTACTTAAAATATAAAAGATTAAACTAACTAAGAGAGAAACTCGAAAATAAAACTATGAGTATGACTACAGAGTCTCTAGGCATCCCCTTTCGTCGTCCTCCTGCGGAACGGGCTCGGGAACCATGTCTTCCTGATCTGAAATGGTTAAATAAGGAGTGAGCTACACTAGCCCAGTAAGAACATCACGATATCTCACCGTCACGGAGGTAAAGGTGGGTAGAAAAACACAAAAAGACCAATGGAGCATAATTTACAATAAACTCGTTTATTAACATGAAAACCTTTACCATCCACTTACCTCGGTGGAATTTATGAAAACAATATAAGAAAAATAATAACATTATCATAATCATGAAATAATATAAGCTGTAAAACATAGCACTTATCACGCCTTTTGTAATTCAATCATTATACAACATATCCTTTTCTCATTTACCAGCCTACTAGTATCCATGGGGGTCCCTAGGGGTCCCGCTACCCGTTAACCTTTAACATTCATAATCAGTTTCCAGGGCCGTCCCCATACCCCGTCCGGTATGGGCGCCAAAACCATAAACCTCAATACCCCGTCCGGTATGAGGGTGAAACGGGTCGTCCCCATACCCCGTCCGGTATGGGCGCCAAAACCATAAGATCTCCATACCCCGTCCGGCATGTGAGACCACAATCCCGGTAGGGTTCCCTACGGACCCGGTCCGTCCACCATCTCCCAGGATATCTAGTCAGGCTGACCCCATCATACAATTATCAGTCTACACAATGTTTCATTTCCCTTTTCCTCAATAAGCATCATCAATTCACATTTAAACAAGCAAATCGTAATTCATGCCGGACATACAACATACAGTATCAGTTCTTCAGTCATTCAACCCATAATTAATAAAACAGTAATATATGCATTCGAAACTATAAAATGAACACATCAAACCCCATAATGCATTTAAAGCTGTAAAACAGTGTAAAACAGGCCAAATAACAGTAAATCATCAATCACACTAGACTCGGGCTCCATTAGCAACCTTAAGCAATTTCACACATTCGTTAATTCAAGAAATACCGTTTTATCATTTTGAACTTTAATACCGTGATAGGAAATAGGGTGAGGGGTCCTTACTTGTTTTCGGGATCCGAATACGATTCACAGTGCGCCTGCAGGCCGTCCCTAATTTTCCCTGAATTTTTCCCGGGGAACTGAAACACACTAACAGTACCTGCACGTGTTCCAAAAAAAATCCAAATTAGGCCCAGGGCCCTTTTCGGACCAAATCGCAACTCCGGCACGGCGGCTCCGCCGTGCTCCGGCGATGGCGCCGCCGCTGGCGGCGGCGAGTCGCCTCGGGTTGGCTGTTTTCGGCCGTTTTCGGCCGAATTCGGCCACACTCGCATTGGTCCTTGTCAGAAAACAACCCTAGGGCCCTCGGGGGGCCAAAAATCACGGAAAAAAAAGCGGAGCTTACCGGCGGCGGCGCTCTCGGGTACGGCGGTTCTCCGGCGAGGTTCGTGTTTTGGTGATTCGGTTTCGGTCAACCTGTAGAGAAAAGAATGGTGATCACGGTGATATAAAAATTGCATCGAACGGAGGCCGGGAAGGACCTCGTCGGAGGCAAAAACCGAGAGGGGCGCGGCGGCGCCGCTGGGTTTCGGCCGCGTATTCCGGCCGTTTGGCCGGGATTTCGGCCTCAATTTGGCCATAGGAGGAATCAGCGGAGAAAAACGAGTCGGGAGTATGAAATTTACCTCGATCGGCGGTCGGAAATTTCCCCGATGCGGCGGCGGGTGGCGGCGGTCGGCCTCTGGTTCGTCTTCTCCGGCGAGCGGCGGGCGGCTAGGGTTTGTGGTCTTGTGTGGGGGTTCTATTTATAACCCCTTGCCTTTTGATCACAGCCGTTCATTTCGTTTTAATCTGGGCCGTTCGTTTTTGATTGAATCTGGGCCGTCCGTGCGATTGAATCTGGGCCGTCCGATCGCACGATTGATCTGGGCCGTCGGATCGCACCCACGCGGATCGCCAACGTGGCTCCTTTCGGAGTGACGCGGTCTTGCCACGTGGCAGGCCCCGGTTGGCCGGGACTGCTGACCGGGCCTGCTGACGTGGCTGCTGACGTGGCCCCCCCCCCCTTTTTTTTTTTTTTTTTTTCCTCCTTTCCGGGTGCTACACAAAATAGAATAAAGTTTACACCCCCCCCCCCCCCCGGGGCGGTAAAAACCCAATTTATTAAACTTACTTTAATTTCGGTTTGCAGAGCCCAAAAAACTCAATTCATAAAACCCATAAATCAACCCCATCTATATACAATTAACATAAACCACTTCCATATATCACCGAAACCCATTGAACTTAGCCCAAAATGTCCAATACCAATCTACTTGGATGCAGCTGAGGGATCGTTCTACTATTACTACTGACTTCATACACAAATATCCTTCTACTATTTACATCTGGAAGCCAAGAAGAAGCAAAAGATGATGATGAAGAGTGCTCGCAAATATGCTATGATTCTCAATCAAATGTGGAAGAAGTTTGGAAAAAATGGAGAACGATATAGAAAAAAAGCTAGAAGGAAGAATTCGACAGCTTTGATTCTCGATTATGTTCTTTTTAGATTAACTTAAACAATTTTTTTAAAAAAAATTTAATTACGGACAATCTTAACTAGTGTCACTAATGTCAAAATTCATTAATTTAATTTTTCTTATGCCGTGTGTCAGCTTATTGAGTGGTCACACAATAAAATTTTCTTTCCTGTTAACAACTTACATGTTATGTCTAACAACTAAATTATGAGGTAGTAGATTGCAAAGAAAAAAAACACAATGTGTTAAAGTGAAATAAGTTAAACTACAAGAAGTTAAATTGAAATTAGCTCAAAAATTTTATTATCATTATCTACACATCTTGAAAAATTAATGAAATATATGTATGTTTATTGAAAAAAATTAAATGATAAAAGAAATAATAACATAATTAAAGAAAAGAGCAATTGAAGCGTATAGAAAAAATTGGCAAGTGCAAGTTCTATAGCTACTATCCATGTATTCATGTCTTCAAAAATTCTTCCACCAGATCCAAAGAGAAAGAAACTCAAAATGTTATCCTAAAATCAACAATTTTTTTTGTAAATCTTTTTGGAAAGAAATATTTAATTTTATCGCAATAGTTGAGATCTCTTGTAATTCTCCAAGTATTATCAATTATCAAGTCTTTGGATAAAACATAATACTTATTTATCTTATATTTGATACATGACTTCTCATACTACCAACAAAGAACCCACATTATGAATTCTTAGAGTATCTTTTATTACCAACTTGAGATATTGAATCTAGTCTAAATTGTCTTATTTGACTTTTTCTTTCTTTTCTTTACAATTTCTAACTTCATCTTGTGTGATCTTCATCATTATAGATAACGAATAAGTTTTGTCGTTGCTCAGACCAGAGTATTTATACTAGTATCTATTATACCAAAGAAGATGTTTTACTAAATAAACATCATAAATATATAAATTGATTGATAATGTAAAAAATAGATTATTTCACAAAAGATCAACATTGATAAAACTTCTCATATAGAAGTAGCCAATATGATAAAAAAAAAAAGTATAATACTTGAATTGGTAGCATACCAAGAGCAGTTCCTTAATATGATCACTTTGGACGGATAATTTATTTGAGAGATCTTGTTTATCCCATCTAATTCTAGCATCACATCTATAGTTTTTTTTTTTTAATATATTGATTTTTTTCTCTTAGGATCAAGATGACCATTAATGATTTTTTTTTAAAGATGGTGTCACTTTTTAAATTTTGTACGATGATTGTTAATCCTGTGTAGATCGAACCTATATATGGTATCCAATTTTCTACAGCGAACTCACGCAATACACTAGAAATATCATAAAATGAGCTATGAAAACTACCTTTATCATAGTTACTGCCATAAAAGTTATCACCAATAGCTATCCTGAATATTATGCTTGCACTATAAGTAAATATTTTGTGTGTGAGATTGATTGGATTCACAGATACTTGGGAGATGATATTCAAAAGAAGAGCAACTTTGTCTTCCCTAATCAATCAAGATCCTTACACTTTTTTCATGCTAAAAACCTCACATAGAGAATAGTTAGTTTTCTTAGTTCTCTTTAATAATGTAAATAAAAACGAGAAGCTAATGTCTAA